AACAACCAAACAAACAAAACAACCCAAGAATACAACAACAAACAAATGAAAAACCCAAAACAAAACAAAAACAAAAACAAGGACAAAAAAAACAAACAAAGGCAATTAAATAAAAGAAAACCCCCGATAAACACACCTTTTAAAAATAATTTGTTTTTCAAATATATCTTTCGTTAGGTTGTTGCTTATTTGTTTTAGTCTTGTCTTTTTATTTTGTATTCATTTGTAAAAATTGTTTCTGCTTTGTTTTTGATCATGTCTATAAGTCTTCTTTTTCATCTCCAAAATAGCGTAATAGTCTCTATAGCGAAGGCCGCTGATCGCCACAGGTCCTCCAGTTCCTCGAGCAGTTTTGGGTCTCTCTGCCTAGGCTTGGGCCAATATTTCCTTAAAAGTGCCTCGAGCATCGGGCAGGCTTATAATTGTAGGAGATGGTTCCCTTTTTGGTTGAAATTAAAAGTAACCCCCCCCCCAAAAAAAAAATAATAAAATCCACTGACTAGCCATCTGTTCTGTCCACCAGGTACCACGTGACCACCCCACCCTTTGACACAGACTCCAACACTCCCATGGAGTCTGGCATCATCACGTTCTGCGAGGACCCGGATGTGCCAGTGATGACCTTCACCCAGGCCCAGGTCAATCACCGGAAGATCTGCTACCAGCCGCCCACAGAGGAGCTCGGTGTCATCCCCAGGATTCTTCAGTTCGTTTATGACGTCGAGGACTCCAACGGTAACCTGCTCAAGGACGAGAAGTTCACAATTCTACTCCAGCCGTTGGACAACCAGCCGCCAGAAGTGACCAACGGAGGCGTGCAGGTGTTGGAGGGCGGCTTCACTGTCCTGAATACAGAAATGTTGGACGTGCAAGACCCAGACACGGAGGAGGAGAACCTCATGTTTGTTGTCATGGAGATCCCAGCTCATGGACAGATCAAGATGAAGGACGAGGTAATGGAGGTTGGGGATTTCTTCACCAGAAGCGACATTCAAGACGGAAATATCGTCTACTACAACAACGGCGAGGAGATCGGGGACGACAAGTTCATGATCGATATCTCGGACGGCATCCACCATGTCCCGGTCAAGTTCAAGGTGGGAATTAAGGGCGTGGACGACGAGGTTCCCGCTCTTGTCGGCGTCCAATCGGAAGTGTTGCGCATTGTGCTGGAGGTGAAGGAGAACTCCGTGGCACCGTTGTCTCCCGAGAACATCCGCGCCGTCGACCCGGACTCGGATGACATGTTGGTTAAGTTCACGGTAGAGAGAAAGCCTTACGAGGGCGTGCTGCTGAGAGGAACGGAGGAAACCATCCAGTTCACTCAGTCCGACATTGTGGCCGGTCTTATAATGTACGAGCACACAGGAGGGGAGATAGGACTCACCGCACGTGACGACTATTTCGAGCTGTCGCTCGCCGATCCCAACAAGGAAATCGTACGAGACGGAGACAAAATCAACAAGATTCTTGTGGAGGTTAAAATATTGCCTCATGACAACGAGGCTCCTATTGTCTCGGTCGAGGCTCCTTTTGAAGTCCTAGAGAGCGAGAAGGCCACCATTTTCACCCGCCATCTTGACGCTACTGATGTGGATACAGAAGATGGTGACATCTTGTGTCTAATAATAGCCCAGCCAATGAACGGCTACCTTGAGAATATCTCCCCGGCCCCAGGATCCGAAAAATCTCGTGTGGGAAAACCCATATCATCGTTCACTATCAGAGACATTCGGTCTGAGCACATTAACTACGTACAGAGTCTTCACAAAGGAATCGAACCCAGGGAGGATTCCTTCATCTTCCATTGCTCTGACGGTCTCAACCAGTCCCCAGATGTGAGGTTTGACATAGAGATTTATCCGGCGAACGACGAAGAACCTGAAATATCTCTCAGAGAGTTTATCGTTGTCGAGGGTGGTAATCTGAGAATTGATTTGCCTATTCTGAACGTTCTGGACAAAGACGAACCAGTGGATCGGCTGACCTTTGTGATTACAGAGCAGCCGAAACACGGCAAGATCGTGAGACAGACTCGGGACGGAAGCTTCCGCATCCAGAACTTCACCTTGGACGATATATCTGGCGATTCCACAATCGAATACGAGCATGACGACAGTGAGACGACTTCGGATGGGTTTGCCTTCTATCTCATCGATGGAGCTCACAATATCTCCCGGACCGTCCCGATCAAAGTCTACCCTCTAGATGATGAAACACCCCGGCTGACCATCAATAACGGACTGCAGATCGATACAGCAGGAGAAACGAAGTTAATCACAAATAAAATGTTGAAGGCTGAGGATCTTGACTCTAATGACCCCGATCTTATGTATTTTGTCCGCCTGAAGCCCAAACATGGCTACTTGCGGATGGAACTGAGCAGTGGAGGACACGTGAACATCACGCAGGGAGGCAACTTTACTCAGAGAGATATTAACAAAAGGAGGATCGAATACGTCCACAACGGAATCGAGGGAGTTCGAGACTTGATCAAATTCGATATCAGCGACGGTCTGAACTCTCTCATCGACCGTTATTTCTATGTCACAGTAGAGGGCCTGGACATGCTTTTCCCGCGCGTCATCAACAAAGGCGTGGAGCTTCCTGAAGGCGGTATGGTAGTTCTGACGACTGACCTACTTAGTGGTACCGACCTCAACACTCCGGACGAGTCCTTGACCTTCATCGTGACCCGTGCCCCGGGTCGAGGTCATCTTGAGACATCCGACATGCCCGGAGTGCCCATCTCCACCTTCACACAACTCCAACTGGCGGGGAATAAAATCCGTTACGTCCACAACACTCAGGACGAAATGAAGATGGACAGTTTCGAGTTCGAGGTCACCGACGGGTACAACCCAGTCACCCGGACCTTCCGTATATCACTCAGTGACGTAGACAACAGGAAACCTGTCCTGATGTTCCAGACGCTCCGACTCAAAGAAGGAGACAACAAACTCATCACGCCGTTCGAGCTGAAAGCGGAAGACCGAGACACCCGCGCCGAGAAGGTGACCTTCACCGTCACGCAGGTCCCCATCCACGGCCTTATCTTGTTCAACACCTCCCGTGTCGTCACAGTTTTCACGCAAGAGGACCTCAACCAAAACCTCATCAGCTACCAACACGACGGTTCAGAAACGGCCGAAGACAGTTTCTCCTTCACCGTAACGGACGGCACCCACTCAGATTTCTTCGTCTATCCTGACACCGAGCTGACAACCCGACGACCCCAGACGATGGCCATCGAGATTCTGCCGATAGACAACGGGATCCCTCAGATCAGCATCAACCGAGGGGGGTCCTACTTGTCGGAGCTGGCAGGCGACCATCTGGGATTTCGCATCGGGAGCCGGGCGCTGAGCACCGAGGATCGAGACTCGGCTGATGACAGTTTGCTGTATTCCGTCAGTTCACAGCCCAAGTGGGGCTACCTTATCAACAGGGCCATCGGCAACCGCAGTATCAGTAACTGGACGCAAGGTGAGAATCTTTTCAGGAGCTAAGCGTTGTTTGCTTTCGACGTGTCATTTGCATCATCATCATCTTCATCATCATCATGATCATCATCATCATCATCATCATCATCATCATCATCATCATCATCATCATCATCATCATCATCACCGTTAACAATAACACTAGTAACACACATATACCCAAGAACAGTTATATTAACAGCCTCCTTTTCCTCGTCCTCGTCCTCGTCGTCGTCGTCCTCCTCCTCCTCCTCCTCCCCTGTTTTTTTTAAAACTAACATTTTCATCGACTCTGTTGTCACCATCTTCAAAAAGTATATCTCGTTCATAACCTCTTCATCATCATTATCATCATCCGAATAAGATGATGCAGATGATACACGAAATTTAAGAACAATAATTATAAATTATTATATCTCTTCGCTCGTGAACATCCTAAAAGAAAAGAAAAAGGTAAATATTAACCTTTGATCTCTTCACAGATCAGCGAGGTTGTCCGATCGTAAATGCCCGTGGCGCTTTGTACATACCTACGTGGCTGTTTATGTCTTCTTTCTCGCACGCTCTACTTACTTACTGGCAGCTTGTGTTTTACCATTTCTCTCTCTGTCTGCCTGTCTCTCTCTGT